TAATAATACATATAATAATAATAGTATAATATAATACAATAATAATAATAATATGCATAATAATACATATAAATAATAATGTACTGCATAATAATCTCTCTTTCAACACACCGGCTGTATTCCATCGAGGCGGGGTGGCCCAAAAGGAAAAACAAAAGTTTCTCTACATAATAATAATTATAATAATAGATGGCTTCAAAAGGCCATCACTAGATGGCAGTGTTTACCACAACATAGAGGGAGCAGTTGTGGTCGCCTCCACCTGTTACATAATGACATATTTTATTCATTCTCGAGTATATATCAGGTTTCTATGTTATTTATATTGTTTATTATTTCATATCAGATGAACTGTGATAGATAAATAAGCCGTAGAGTTGATGATAGCAAAATATTCAAGGAACATTTTGTCCTGTCTCCAGACAAACTCTTGTCGGCCTCTGCCGCTGCCACATATATAATTACATATTTTATTCATTTTAGAGTATATATCAGGTTTCTATGTTATTTATATTGTTTATTATGTCATATTAGATGAAGTGAGATAGATAAATAAGCCGTAGAGTTGATATTAGCGAAATTATTGAAGTACAGAATTCCACTGGAGCGGATTAATTGCATTTCAGTTAATTTAAATGAGGAAAATTGACTCTGCAGACGAGCAAATCCAGTTGCGAGCAAGGTCATGGAACGGATTAAACTCGCAAGTAGAGGTTCCACTGTATAAAGAAAAAAGTACTGGTAATGGTCATGAAGCAGTACATTCAAGTAAGAAGAGAGAGTGCAAGACCATCACTCTCAGAAAAGATCTGTGACAGGAAAGTAAAGCTGGAATTTGACACATAAGTATCAACCTTAGCCTAACAAATAGAAGAAGTGGCAATAGATAATTAAATAATAATAGCAAAGATAAGTATAAAACAAATTTATAAAAATCTTTTGTAGGTAGGTTATTATAAAGAAAATAAAAGCTAAGATGTATATTAAATAGGAAGGAACTGGGTGATAACATACCTTAAAAATTTACATGAAATTATATTTAAAAGTTTTTGGTTTAAATAAATCACTTATTATGGTGAAATAATAGTTTGAAAAGATACAAGTGTTCGTAAAAAAATTCTCTGCTAGTCAGTGAAATGCAAATAAAAGTTTTCAGTGATATGCTGTAGGTGGAAATTCAAGGAGGAAAAGCTCATTCATTTTTTGATGTCTAAAACTGTTAAATAATGGACTGCTCAAAATGTTAAAAAAGCTCAACGAGATGAAATGAAAATAATTATAGTGGGGATTGTAAATACAGTATGTAACCCCTTAGTTTAATGATCCTCATAAAGGACTTTGGACATGCCTGATAGAATCTGCTGATTCGGAAACCATGGACGAGGTCTGCTGGATACAGAATTGTCTGTTTTGTTGCAATTACAGCAAAACAATCTTGTCTATCCATCACAGTTGCTATTACTATCAACTGTTAGTCTATTAGTCTGCTAAACCAAGAGTTTACTGCACAAAGAAATAGACTTGATAGCTTATGAGGCCAAAATTTAAAATAAATGAGCAAATAAATTCCTCAGTTTGTTGGTGGAATCATTTATGGAACAACACAGTAGAGGTTACTTAGGTTAGAGAAGGCAGTACACTCTCCATTCTGGATCTTGTGTTTACCTGAAAAGAAAAGTGGAGTATGATTCATGTAAACCCACTTGGAAGAAGTGACAATGTATTGTTAGAGATAATGTGTGTAGCAAATTATAAGCTAAAATTAAATTTTCATCTAGAATTAGTCTGTACTGTGTCTTTATCATTAAATAGTAATTGGAAAGCACGTAGTAGATCCTGCAGAGTAGTGAGCACTGGTAAGAAAAAACAGGTTTGGTTTCATCACTTAGAGCTCATGTGCAGCATTAGATCACCTGTTGTTCATTTATACTAAAACCTCTCCCTGAAACCTTTTGCATGCAGTATTTATTTTTAAATACAATAAGGTGCATTTTCTTTTGCATCTGTAATAAACTTGTACATTTTACTTATGATTGTTCGTGTTGCATTTTACATCCCCTTTCTTCATTTTCTGAAAACAAAAATCAACAGTTACACACAGACCATTTGAGTTTTGGATCATGCCATCTGAAAATATTAATTTCATGTAGAGTATATATTTATAAATTTAATAAATCATGGATTTGAGTCCTGGAGGTGGAAAGTACAATACCTACACTTTAAAGGAGGGGTTTGGGATATTTGCTATTAGGAGTGACATCTGAACTGTCGTATCTTTGTGCCTCTGCAAAGACAGTGATTGTGTGAATGATGTAAAGTAAAAGGATACAAGTGCAACTAATGTGATATTTTATTGTCAAGCCGTAACGGCTTGACAAAGCTCCTGGAGAGCGAAACGTTCCCACAATAAAATGTCACATAAGTTGCACTTGTGTCCTTTTACTTTACATATTGTCGGTAATTCTACCAACATTATGTGTGAATGATGGTGAAAGTGTTTCTTTTTTGGGTTACCCTGCCTTGGGAGACAGCCAGCATGTTGAAAAAAAAAAAAGTACATATATATATGTATAGGATTGCTGGTGTCTTTTTTCTATCTCAGGCACATAAGATAACAGATATGTATATCTTGCTACTTCTTCTTAAACTTATGTCACATCACACATGTGCACATATATATTTACACACCCATCTGGGTTTTCTTCTATTTTCGTAATAATTCTTGTTCTTTACGTATTTTCTCTTATCTCCAAAGGGAAGTGGAAAAGAATTCTTCCTCTGTAAGCCATGCATGCCATAAGAGGCAACTAAAATGCCAGAATCTTCTGTATATATTACTAAATTTAAAAAGAGAAACTTTCGTTTTTCTCTAGGTCACCCTACCTTCGTGGGATATGACCACTTTGTTGACAGAAGAAGAAAGTTTGTACATATGTATATCTTATTTTTTAATATGTAAGCAATCTCCCACTGAGGCAGGGTGACTCAAAAAAGAAACACTCACCATCATTCATACATAATCACTGTTTTTGCAGAGGTGCCCAGATACGACAGTTCAGATGTCACTCCCAACAGCTAATATCCCAAACCCCTCCTTTAAAGTGCAGGCATTGTACTTCATAGCTCCAGAACTCAAATCTGGCTAACTAGTTTCCCTGAATCTTTCACAAAATATTAACTTCCTCACACTCCAACAGCTCATATCTCAAAAAACCCCACACCAATTTTTTTTTAAAGCCTCTTTAAGTCTCGAATCAGTGACCCCTGACAAGTGAGATGTTAGTTCATTTACCTGGATAACATGCAATTATTGGTGATTTTATCTTATTCTCCCAGACTGTAATGTATACAAATACTGTACTCTTTACTATTTGTAACTAATCCTCCGTAGACATTCAAAAAAAATTTAACATTTATGCGATAGGAAGTTTGAATATGAATAAGGACCATCTATACAGTTTCTTAAGTGATGTAGAGAAAAAGTTTTTCAAGGACGAGCCTTCATTTTCTAGACTTCTTTGAGCATTGCCAAGTAAAATGTTTTGTCTGAAAGTAAAGACGCGTCTGTGGATGGTGATCATAAGTTGTGTGTACTCAGTGTGTTCCAAAGGCGGATGTATACTTTACTGTATAGCTTATTACAAATTATAATCTTACAAATAATAAGCAGAGACTCATAAAATTAGAAATGTGAAATACAGCATTATGTATTGAACATTTTTGAATAGGGCTTCAAACGTAATGAAAATTAAAAAATTAGATGAATACAATTTGTGTTAGGTACTTAATTATCTTTAACCTTGAGTGTGTTATCCATCTGTGTTTTCATTACGAACTAAGTAAAAATAAAGGACTTTGCAAGTGGAAATATTGCATGCATTCACTGATTGAAATAAGCAGTAAATTTACCAAATGCATTTATATATGTCTTCAGATACTGCTACAAAATACTGAATTCTTTTTATATTACAGTAATATATTTGTATTTATACTTAACTTTCAATAAGTATCCAACATAAACAGAAACACACACAAATAACCTGCACAAAGAAGAGAGGAGCTTACGACGACGTTTTGGTCCGACTTGGACCATTTTTTTATTATTTATAAACAGAAACATTGGTAGTTCACAGTTGTGATAGTAATCATGATTTTCAGCCTGATGACTATGCCTTCTTTTAATTAGTATCAGTGTGTTAAATTTACTATTGAATATTGTGTCTCCTCTCTCATATTTTAAAAGTAGCGTGCCCTTTTTGTATATTCAATAAATCTCTTCATTTAAGTATATACATTTTAATGAAGTCTACTGCATATACTAGATAATTAACCCATTCTTTTGTTTTTTGCATGTTTAAGGGATATTATTTTCTTTAGCAAGACCTTGTCTGGTTTTATTTTTGTGTTGATGAAAATAGCATTCTAGATTATTAAAAAAAGTTAGTAAATTTCTTAGATCCTAATATTTGATTATGGTAGACTCACGAAAGTAATTAACAGTTGCATCTTGATTTCTACTTGCAGCCGACTTGTGACGTTAACTTTCAGAGTTTTCTGCATTTTTTTGTTCACGTTATGAGATCATTTGTATTGATAATATATTCATATAGAAAATACTATTATTTAAAAAAATCTGCATACTCATATTCATATTCTCTCTATTTGTTAATAGAATTATTGTCATTATTATTACTATATGCATAAAACAATGAATAAATTAGTGAAAAGTACATAAATATTTAAGTGAAAGTATAGAATGGCAGAAGTAGAGCAAGATAGTGTTTTTACATTAAACAGCATCAGCTCTCACCTGTGATGGTTGTATAAAGTAATTGTCTTGTCATAAGTCGATTGTAAAATGTAGATGAGTGTGGTTTGAGATTGTATTGCCACCTTCAATGAAATCTCCTCTCCATGTTCCCTTACTGCTTCCCTCACCTGCTGCTCCGACTCCCGATATCGCCGATATCAACCTACCTTCAATGGTGTGGAATCTGCAGGGCAACTTTCAGGTAGTAGTACAATATGAAACATTCAAAACTACAGTATAAATGTTGGACTGCATAATGGGATCTCTTCTACTCCACTGCCTTCTAGTCTTTGGTTATTGCACACGTTCTGTTCATGGCAATGTTTTCTTAAGCTCATTTTAATTTACCCCATGAATTGTATATAGGGTAGAGGATTACCCCCAACTCTTAAGTGTTCAGTATTGTTATAATAAGAGTCCATATAGATATAGTAGATGCCTAATACACTTTTGATTCTTCAGAAACTTTAAATATAGAACAAAATATACTGTATTTATATAGTAACTGCATATAATGAATACAAATACAATTCATTCTTATATTGTTTGTAAATAGTTTGAGGTTTGATATGTATACAGTATATTCTGTATATTAATTTGAGTATTGTGTATTATGATGCAATTTTAAAACTGTGTTTAGGAATTGGGTATACTTTGTATTGGTAGTATGGTATATATTTTTTCTTTAATCTCTGTATAGAAAATGGTCACTTGCTAACTCACCCAAGGATCTGCTATTTGGACTCTCAGGATAGCATCTCTTGGTAATAGCAAAAACATGAGTTAGTCACCTGGACTATTAAGAATGCTAATATCTCTCCCTGCTAATAAGATTAACATGTCTTGTAAGACAATCTCAGACATGTCTGACATGATATGGCACACCATTTTGTTTCCTTCTTTTCAGTTATGAGAGAGGATAAAACATAAGGGCAGGACTCCTTACACCTGCTGTTCTTGTTTGCCTAACAGCAAATAGATTCTAGTACCTAGGTATTGGTCAACTGTTATGGGTGGAACCCTGGGTGATAGTAGAATACCTAATATAGGGCTGAGCTTTGAAATGAGCTGATGTGGGATATCAGCTATTTTTTTTTTTTTTTCAACAAGTCGGCCGTCTCCCACCGAGGCAGGGTGACCCAAAAAAGAAAGAAAATCCCCAAAAAGAAAATACTTTCATCATCATTCAACACTTTCACCACACTCACACATTATCACTGCTTTTGCAGAGGTGCTCAGAATACAACAGCTTAGAAGCATATACGTATAAAGATACACAACATATCCCTCCAAACTGCCAATATCCCAAACCCCTCCTTTAAAGTGCAGGCATTGTACTTCCCATTTCCAGACTCAAGTCCGACTATATGAACATAACCGGTTTCCCTGAATCCCTTCACTAAATATTACCCTGCTCACACTCCAACAGATCGTCAGGTCCCAAGTATCATTCGCCTCCATTCACTCCTATCTAACACGCTCATGCACGCTTGCTAGAAGTCCAAGCCCCTAGCCCACAAAACCTCCTTTACCCCCTCTTTCCAACCCTTTCGAGGATGACCCCTACCCCTCCTTCCTTCCCCTATAGATTTATATGCTTTCCATGTCATTCTACTTTGATCCATTCTCTCTAAATGACCAAACCACCTCAACAACCCCTCTTCTGCCCTCTGACTAATGCTTTTATTAACTCCACACCTCCTAATTTCCACACTCCGAATTTTCTGCATAATATTTACACCACACATTGCCCTTAGACAGGACATCTCCACTGCCTCCAACCGTCTCCTTGCTGCTGCATTTACCACAATAGCTTCACATCCATATAAGAGTGTTGGTACTACTATACTTTCATACATTCCCTTCTTTGCCTCCATAGATAACGTTTTTTGACTCCACATATACCTCAACGCACCACTCACCTTTTTTCCCTCATCAATTCTATGATTAACCTCATCCTTCATAAATCCATCCGCCGACACGTCAACTCCCAAGTATCTGAAAACATTCACTTCTTCCATACTCCTCCTCCCCAATTTGATATCCAATTTTTCTTTATCTAAATCATTTGATACCCTCATCACCTTACTCTTTTCTATGTTCACTTTCAACTTTCTAGCTTTACACACATTCTCAAACTTATCCACTAACCTTTGCAATTTTTCAGCTATTACCAGGTAAAAAAAAATCTGAATATTGTCTGGATATCTAACAGGTGTTTACAGTGAAACACATAAGTGAACAGTATTTAGATAAAGCTAAAGAGGTTTTTGTGGCATTTAAGGATTTCGAAAAGGCATATGACAGGGTGGATAGGGGGGGCAATGTGGCAGATGTTGCAGGTGTATGGTATAGGAGGTAGGTTACTGAAAGCAGTGAAGAGTTTTTACGAGGATAGTGAGGCTCAAGTTAGAGTATGTAGGAAAGAGGGAGATTATTTCCCAGTAAAAGTAGGCCTTAGACAAGGATGTGTGATGTCACCGTGGTTGTTTATCGTATTTATAGATGGGGTTGTAAGAGAAGTAAATGTGAGGGTCTTGGCAAGAGGCGTGGAGTTAAAAGATGAAGAATCACACATAAAGTGGGAGTTGTCACAGTTGCTCTTTGCTGGTGACACTGTGCTCTTGGGAGATTCTGAAGTGAAGTTGCAGAGGTTGGTGGATGAATTTGGTAGGGTATGTATAGGGTATTATAGAGGGGCCACAGATATATCAGATCACTTTCTAGTTGTAGCTACACTGAGAGTAAAAGGTAGATGGGATACAAGGAGAATAGAAGCATCAGGGAAGAGAGAGGTGAAGGTTTATAAACTAAAAGAGGAGGCAGTTAGGGTAAGATATAAACAGCTATTGGAGGATAGATGGGCTAATGAGAGCATAGGCAATGGGGTCGAAGAGGTATGGGGTAGGTTTAAAAATGTAGTGTTAGAGTGTTCAGCAGAAGTTTGTGGTTACAGGAAAGTGGGTGCAGGAGGGAAGAGGAGCGATTGGTGGAATGATGATGTAAAGAGAGTAGTAAGGGAGAAAAAGTTAGCATATGAGAAGTTTTTACAAAGTAGAAGTGATGCAAGGAGGGAAGAGTATATGGAGAAAAAGAGAGAGGTTAAGAGAGTGGTGAAGCAATGTAAAAAGAGAGCAAATAAGAGAGTGGGTGAGATGTTATCAACAAATTTTGTTGAAAATAGAAAAAGTTTTGGAGTGAGATTAACAAGTTAAGAAAGCCTAGAGAACAAATGGATTTGTCAGTTAAAAATAGGAGAGGAGAGTTATTAAATGGAGAGTTAGAGGTATTGGGAAGATGGAGGGAATATTTTGAGGAATTGTTAAATGTTGATGAAGATAGGGAAGCTGTGATTTCGTGTATAGGGCAAGGAGGAATAACATCTTGTAGGAGTGAGGAAGAGCCAGTTGTGAGTGTGGGGGAAGTTCGTGAGGCAGTAGGTAAAATGAAAGGGGGTAAGGCAGCCGGGATTGATGGGATAAAGATAGAAATGTTAAAAGCAGGTGGGGATATAGTTTTGGAGTGGTTGGTGCAATTATTTAATAAATGTATGGAAGAGGGTAAGGTACCTAGGGATTGGCAGAGAGCATGCATAGTTCCTTTGTATAAAGGCAAAGGGGATAAAAGAGAGTGCAAAAATTATAGGGGGATAAGTCTGTTGAGTGTACCTGGTAAAGTGTATGGTAGAGTTATAATTGAAAGAATTAAGAGTAAGACGGAGAATAGGATAGCAGATGAACAAGGAGGCTTTAGGACAGGTAGGGGGTGTGTGGACCAGGTGTTTACAGTGAAACATATAAGTGAACAGTATTTAGATAAGGCTAAAGAGGTCTTTGTGGCATTTATGGATTTGGAAAAGGCGTATGACAGGGTGGATAGGGGGGCAATGTGGCAGATGTTGCAAGTGTATGGTGTAGGTGGTAGGTTGCTGAAAGCAGTGAAGAGTTTTTACGAGGATAGTGAGGCTCAAGTTAGAGTATGTAGGAAAGAGGGAAATTTTTTCCCAGTAAAAGTAGGCCTTAGACAAGGATGTGTGATGTCACCGTGGTTGTTTAATATATTTATAGATGGGGTTGTAAGAGAAGTAAATGCGAGGGTCTTGGCAAGAGGCGTGGAGTTAAAAGATAAAGAATCACACACAAAGTGGGAGTTGTCACAGCTGCTCTTTGCTGATGACACTGTGCTCTTGGGAGATACTGAAGAGAAGCTGCAGAGATTGGTGGATGAATTTGGTAGGGTGTGCAAAAGAAGAAAATTAAAGGTGAATACAGGAAAGAGTAAGGTTATGAGGATAACAAAAAGATTAGGTGATGAAAGATTGAATATCAGATTGGAGGGAGAGAGTATGGAGGAGGTGAATGTATTCAGATATTTGGGAGTGGACATGTCAGCGGATGGGTCTATGAAAGATGAGGTGAATCATAGAATTGATGAGGGGAAAAGGGTGAGCGGTGCACTTAGGAGTCTGTGGAGACAAAGAACTTTGTCCTTAGAGGCAAAGAGGGGAATGTATGAGAGTATAGCTTTACCAATGCTCTTATATGGTTGTGAAGCATGGATGATGAATGTTGCAGCGAGAAGAAGGCTGGAGGCAGTGGAGATGTCATGTCTGAGGGCAATGTGTGGCGTGAATATAATGCAGAGAATTCGTAGTTTTGAAGTTAGGAGGAGGTGCTGGATTGCCAAAACTGTTGTCCAGAGGTGGTTCGGACATGTAGAGAGAATGGAGCGAAACAGAATGAGTTTAAGAGTGTATCAGTCTGTAGTGGAAGGAAGGTGGGGTAGGGGTCGGCCTAGGAAAACTTGGAGGGAGGGAGTAAAGGAGGTTTTGTGTGCGAGGAGCTTGGACTTCCAGCGGGCATGCGTGAGCGTGTTTGATAGGAGTGAATGGAGACAAATGGTTTTTAATACTTGACGTGCTGTTGAAGTGTGAGCAAAGTAACATTTATGAAGGGATTCGGGGAAACTGGCAGGCCGGACTTGAGTCCTGGAGATGGGAAGTACAGTGCCTGCACTCTGAAGGAGGGGTGTTAATGTTGCAGTTTAAAAACTGTAGTGTAAAGCACCCTTCTGGCAAGACAGTGATGGAGTGAATGATGGTGAAAGTTTTTCTTTTTCGGGCCACCCTGCCTTGGTGGGAATCAGCCAGTGTGCTAATAAAAAAAAAATAATAATAATAATCTAACTGTCAGGGATTTGCAAGATGTTTTTTGTCAGTTAGTTGATCAGCATCTCTTCTTTAAGGAGATTTATTCTTGAAAATTCATTTAATTTTTTATTTACATCAAAATAATTTATTCTTTTGTGATATACCTTGTGGTTTCATAGTGTTTGTATCTAAAGATGTTTTAAATGTATTTTTTTCCTTACACAAAATGATGTGTATTAAATATGCATCTCTGATTATGTATTTCATTGCCACAAAAAATTTCATGCTGCTAGTATTTTTCATAATTTTACCCATACATTAGTGTGAGCTGCCACATGAATCTCTGTATCTCAGTTCACTCAAACTATAACTCTCACAAAATTTAATGAATATACTTTATTCATTAAATTTTTGACCATTACATCCTGTAATGTTTCTTGTAATAGCTCATTTTGATAGGGTTTTTCTCCTTATTTACTTAATGTTGTCTGCAGGTTTCCTCAAATGACCATCCTTAATGTAGTAGTCTATGCTTTTTTCTTTTTTTGATAGAGAGAGAAAGAACGAGAACTGCCCCTGATCCTACTTATTACCCACTTTGCATTTTAATAGATTTGAGGTGAAGCCCTGAAACAGATATGATGCTACAAAAGTAATAATTTGGTGTTACTTTGGTATGGGAAATTTAATAAGGGAGGACTTAGTGATAATATGCTAAACTGCTTGAATGTTTCTTACCTGTGAGTGTTTATGCAGCACTATATATATATATACAGTACAATATATATACAGTACAATATATGCAACTAACATTTCACTTTTGGGGAATGTTAGAAGTGACTATTTTCTTAAAGCAGAGAAATTAAGCTCTGAGAATAGTTTTATTGTTATACCTCATGCACCTGTACATTGTTGCTTGATACATCTGCACAACATTTGTAATTGAACATCAGCACCTTTGAATAACTCTCAGCACATTTTATTTGCTTAAGTCATTGTGGATAACTGTAAATAATGTTCTTAATGTACAGTATTACAATAAGTGTTAATTGGTTATTTTTTTTGTACATTTATTACATACAGTATTTTGTATCTGTAGTAGGGACATGCTTTATGCTTTTTTTCCCCCCATTATTTTTCCATGTTTCATTTCTGCACTATCTTAAGAGTGCATTTTTTTTTAATTTTCATTTAAATGCAATTCAGAGAGAAAGTTTGATTAGAAATGATAACTTGTGTTTCTCTGCATTATAACTTCGATTCTGTTATTTATAGGCATATTTCAGCTGAAATTTCAAATACAGTGCTAGTCACGACAGTATGCCGCCCCTCCCCACCCATGTACCAAAACACAAACACATACCATGAAAGAATATAATATATATATTTGCACACTTACTGAGGTTTTAATACTTGGTGCTGCGTCCTTTACACTTAATCACGACCCTCAGCCGTATAGGAAAAGACTCCCACAAATTTTTGAGGGTTTGGGGAGGTATATTATTCCATGCCTCATGTAGAGCAGCTTCCAGCTGTGGGATGGAACTGATATCCTTGCCCAGTAAATTTTTTTACTATTGACCAGAGGTTCTCACTTGGGTTTAGGTCTGGGGAATTGCCTGGCCAGTCATTAAAGAACCTCACTTCACAGTCCTTAAGCCACTGAACTACAGATTTGGCGGTATGACACGGTGCAGCATCCTGCATAAAAACTATAGCCCCACACCTCAGGTAAATTGTCACATAATTTCAGGTAATTATACTGGTTTATGTACTGGTTTTTGGGAAGCACAATGAGTTCACCAACACTCTGAGCACTGAAACACCCCCAAACCACGAGCAAGTCTGGGTGTTTAGTGGTCCCACAGGTGTGCGTGGGTCTAGTGGGTCACTACCTCTGGGCTGGCACACATGTCCCCCATGGTTACAGGTGATGAAGGTTGCTTCATCACTCCAGAGTACTTCAGACCACTGTTGAGAATTCCAGTGAAGATATTTCTTTGCATAATCCAGCCTATGTTCCTTCTGTGGCTTGGAGAGGATCAGTTTCTTAACCTGGCGGTGACTACTGTAGCCCAGTTATGGCACATGTCTGTTAACAGTTTTTACAGACACCTCTGAGAGAAGATGTGGGTTCTTTTCTTTCAATTCTCTAGCATTTATCTTAGATGTACTCTCTAACTGCTGCTTTAACACAGTTAAGGTATGAACAGATGTCTTCGAGGGGCCAGGCCGAGGTTTGGCAGATGGTAGCTCAACACCGCCACCAGACTTGAAACTATGCACCCAGTTCCTCACTGAACACTCACACACACCAACATTCTCCACTATTTCTTTTGTCTGTTGCCCAGCTTTGTGAAACCCTGTTATTTGAGGTATAGTTTCAGGTGTTAAAGACTTCCTTTTACCCATAATCAAACTATGTATACATAGTCCCAAAACCAAAGGGAACACCAAATAAAAGATGGGGCGAATGAGAGAGAAAAGTGCAACACTTCCTCTCACCACGGCAGCCACGTGAGCACTGAGAAGTCACTGTGGAGTGTGGCGGCAGGCCATGGCGTCATACTAACAGCTGCTACCCGGCATAATGCACTGACGAAACAAGACTCCCCTGTATGGTAGGCCTTTGATTTTTGTCACAACATTATGCCAGGGCACTCGCCCAGCATAATGCCGTGACTAGCACTGTATGTTTAAAAAAATGTCCCAACAAGCACTTCTAATTGTCTTAAAATGAAGCCTCCTATTGGAATTGGACAGTATAGTCTGCCTGTGACCATTTTGAGAATAGCATAAAGCAAAATACCTGGAGACTATAACTTGGAATGAATTGCGTATATGGTTTGGTCCACAGCTAATGGATTCGGAATTTTTTGAGTTTGTTGTCAAAATAACAAGAAATTGGTATAGATAATAGTAAATTGTTAAGACATCTGAACATTGGTAATGATGGCAACTGATTAATGATGATAATGAATAAGCAATCATTTCTAGTGCTTTATAAATTCCACAACTTGCATCTTCAAACATGTGTTAATCCTTTATATAAACAAAAATTAGACATTCCATATATGCTCTAGTATATACTCTTATTTGCCATCACTGAAAAGAACTATTCTTGTACAACTGTGTAGTGATTAATCTTGTCACTACAAGACCTGACTAGTCTGGTCACACTACATCAGCAGACATAACTAGTCTGGTCACAGTACATTAGCAGATATAACTAATTTGGTCACAGTTTATCAGACATAACTAGTCTGGTCACAGTACATCACCAGCATACTTGAATAGTTTGGTCAAAATCTGACTGGTCTTCTCAAAAGTGACATGGCTTTTCAAAATATGTGAAAGTTTTGGGTGATTATAGCTGCATCATGGCTAACCAATTGAAAAATTAAGCAAGAATTTTTCATAAATATTTGAGAAATTCAGTTTTAGAAAATATTCCAAATTTAGAAATTTTAAAGTAATATTTTATTATTATTCTATAAAATTGCTTTTGTGAGATAATTTGCTTGGGGATGAAAGACAGATCCTCTTGTGATCACCGGATGCACATGAACTATAAACCTCTCTACTTACTGTATTTTTTTTCTCATAAATATTATTATTTCTTTAGTTATTTTACTATAATTTCTTTACTTTCTTAATAGATAATTATATTTTTTATTGTAATTATTAATTTATTAATATAGTGTTATTACTCTTTAAACTTTATCAGTGTTTGTGAGTTTTGGCTTTCAGAAAATATCAGTTATCAAACAGTATTTATTTATTACCAGTAAAAGCCTGATAATTCAGGCCTTAAATATATACAACATAGAAATTGCTTAATACGTATTAACAATAAATTGTTAAAGAATTGGAGACCACCTCAAAGCTATAAATAATGTTACAGGTCAGCTGGAATTCAAGTATAGATGTGTGGTGGCATAAAGCAATCAGTAATTTAAGCAGTGAATGTCCTCCTGTGTGGATGGATACTGAAGATCCTCTCTTCATGCTGTATACCAGGTTTGTGGTAGTTAATGTTTTGCACAGGTATTGGGATTTGATCAAGGGATTCGAGGCTACTGGGTAGCTGGATGTAAGTTCTAAAATTAGGAAGTACAGTGCTTGCACTTTGAAGAATGGCTGGAGATTTTGTAATTCTGAGGGGGTTATTTAAATTGTGAAGTCTGTGCACTTTTGGAATGACAGCTTGGGAATGAGTGATGGTGAATGTGTTTTCCATCTTTGGTTAACCTTACCTTGGTAGGAAATGGCTGAAGTGTTACAAAAGTTTGCTTGAAATACTATTTCAAATTTCTGAATGTTATATAAATGCTGCAGCATTTGCAACCCAAGCTTCACATCCATATTAGTGTGTTGGTACCACTATACTTTCATACATTCCCTTCTTTGCCTCCATAGATAACATTTTTTTTTTGTCTCCACAGATACCTCAACACACCACTCGCCTTTTTTCTTTCATCAGTTCTATGGTTAACCTCACCCTTCATAAACCCATCTGCTGACAAGTCAACTCCCAAATATCTGAAAACATTCACTTCTTACATACTCCCTCTCTCCAATGTGATTTCCAATTTTTCTTTATCTAAATCATTTGATACCCTCATCACCTTACTCTTATCTGTGTTTACTTTCAACTTTCTACCTTTACACGCCCTCCCAAACTCATCTACTGACCTTTGTAACTTTCCTTTAGAATCTTCCATAAGCACAGTATCATCAGCAAAAAATAACTGTGTCATCTCCAATTTTGTACTTGATTAACCATAATTTAATCCCACTCCTTTCCCCAGCACCCTAGCATTTACTTCTTTTACAACTCCCATCTATAAATATATTAAACAACCATGGTGACATTACACATCCCTGTCTAAAACCTACTTTTACCGGGAGGTAATCTCCCTCTCCTACGAACCATAACCTGAGCCTCACTATTCTCATAAAAACTCTCTGCAGCATTTAGTAACTTAATACCTACTCCATACACTTGCAACATCTGCCACATTGCTTCCCTATCCACTCTATCATATGCCTTTTCTAAATCCATAAATGCAATGAAAACTTCCCTACCTTTATCTAAATACTGTTCATATATATGCTTCAATGCAAACACTTGATCTACACATCCCCAACCCACTGTAAGGCCTCCTTGCTCATCTGCAATCCTCCTCTCTGTCTTACCTCTAATTCTTTCAATAATAACCCTACTGTGCACTTTACCTGGTCTTCTTTCAACAAACCAGCCGTATCCCACCGAGACAGGGTGGCCCATAAAGAAAAACAAAAGTTTCTTTAACTTTAGTAATGTATACAGGAGAAGGGGTTACAAGCCCCATGCTCCCAGCATTTTAGTCACCTCTTATGACATGCATGGCTTACAGAGGAAGAATTCTGATCCACTTCCCCATGCAGACTTTACCTGGTATACTCAGTAAACTTATTCCCCTATAATTTTTACAATCTCTTTTGTCTCCCTTCCCTTTATATAAAGGGACTATGCATGCTCTCCGCTTTTTGTTTTTTTCACTAATTTATTTTTTCACATAACTTATGTGGCCTATGAGACCAAAGTAAGGTGCAATGTACATATATACACTCGTTGTATACAACACAATAAACACACAAACATAATTATCAATATATTGTTTACAAAACTTGTTTACAAAAACAAACAATACAAAAAAATTTTCATTACTATTGTTCTATAATATATATACCAATGTACAGTCACCAAACATATTCCTAGAAGTTCTGCAGCTTGTGGAACTCTTTGAAACATGTTTTCATGCACAATGGTGTTTTACACTCCTCACACATAAAACCAGTGTGTGTGCATTTTTGTGGACTTTTTTTTTATGTGCAAAGACAAAACACCTCGCCTGAGCAGTTTTCTTCAAAGTATTAGCAGGCAGTTGTGTTATGTAGTTTTTTTTTTTTTTTTTTTTTTTTTTCAACAAGTCGGTCGTCTCCCACCGAGGCAGGGTGACCCAAAAAAAGAAAGAAAATCCCCAAAAAGAAAATACTTTCATCATCATTCAACACTTTCACCACACTCACACATTATCACTGCTTTTGCAGAGGTGCTCAGGATACAACAGTTTAGAAGCATATACGTATAAAGATACACAACATATCCCTCCAAACTGCCAATATCATATAATATAATATAATATATAATATAATATATATATACACATATATAGTCACTAGATACTTTCATATAACTGCTATTATCTCCATTCAGCAAGCTTGTCTTGTGTGCGAGTGTGTGGCTTATAATTGTTTTGATAGAATTTTCAGAGGGGCATGAAAAACTGATTTTAGGAGTGATATACTGTCCCCCAAACTTAGATAGGGACCAAGGGAGACTACTATGGGAGGAAATTGTTAAGGCCACAAGGCACGATAATGTAGTAATTCTAGGAGACTTTAACTTTAGTCATATTGATTGGAATTTCTTGACTGGGAATTTAGAATCATACGACTTCTTAGAAGTAGTTCAGGATTGTTTTTTGAAGCAGTTTGTGACAGAACCTACAAGGGGAAATAACCTGCTTGACTTAGTTATGGCAAACAATGAATCCCTTGTTAATAATTTAGAAATTTCAGAGGAACTGGGTGCTAGCGACCACAAATCAATTTCATTTAGCATTGAATGGAAGTACGATAGTAGCGATAACTCAGTAACAGTCCCAGATTTTCGCTTAGCAGATTACGATGGGCTTAGAGAACACTTATCATCTGTTGACTGGGGTAATGAAGTGAGCTATCAATATGACAGTTTTCTGAACACTATACATGCTGCTCGAAGAACGTTTATCCCATATAAAGAAATTAGATCAAATAGAAATGACCCAAAATTGATGAATAATAGGCTCAAATATCTACTAGGGCATAAGAAAGGAATTTATAGGAGTATCAAAAGAGGTGAGGGTCATCTTATGAGTCAGTATATTGACATTAAGAGGGACATTAAATAGGGGATAAGAAAAGCTAAAAGGGACTATGAAATTAAAGTTGCTAGGGATTCTAAAACTAACCCAAAAAGTTTTTTCAAGGTCTATAGAACAAAAGTTAGAGATAAGATAGGTCCCCTTAAAAATAACTATGGGCACCTTACTGACAAAGAGAATAAAATGTGCTTGATTTTTAATAATTATTTTCTCTCAGTTTTTACACAGGAAGACACTAACGTTATTCCAGTAATTAATTTTTATAGTGGGCTAGAAGAGGCTAAATTATGTAATATCACAGTCACTAGTGAAATGGTTGTGAAGCAGATACAGACTGAAGCAGAATAAGTCGCCGGGTCCTGATGAGGTTTTTTCAAGGGTTCTTAAGGAATGCAAAATGGAACTCTGTGAACCATTAACTAATATTTTTAATTTATCTCTTCAAACAAGTGTAGTGTCTGATATGTGGAAGATGGCTAATGTAATTCCTATTTTTAAAACAGGGGACAAGTCGTTACCGTCAAATTACCGCCCAATAAGCCTGACCTCAATTGTAGGCAAATTACTAGAGTCAATTATAGCCGAGATTATAAGAAGCCATCTCGATAAGCATAGCTTGATTCACAAGAGGCCGGTCTTGTCTAACTAATTTATTAACTTTCTTCAGTAAAGCTTTTGAGGCTGTTGACCACGATAAAGAATTTGATATTATTTACTTAGATTTTAGTAAGGCTTTCAATAGAGTTCCGCACCATAGACTGTTAAAGAAAGTGGCAGCTCATGGCATTGGGGGAAAAGTGCTCTCGTGGATCGAGTCATGGCTCACTGACAGGAAGAGAGAGTGTCCATAAATGGGGTTAAATCCGAGTGGGGATCTGTAACAAGTGGCGTCCCACAGGGATCAGTCTTGGGCCCGTTGTTGTTTATAATATATATCAATGATCTTGATGAGGGAATTACTAGTGATATGAGCAAATTCGCCGATGACACAAAGATAGGTAGGATAATTGATTCAAACGTAGATGTTATGGAACTTCAGGAGGATTTAAACAAACTCTATTCTTGGTCAGAAAAGTGGCAGATGCAGTTCAATGTAGATAAATGCAAGGTTCTGAAGCTCGGGAGTGCCCAAAAAAAACCAAAAAAAAGGGGAAACCCCCCCGCATAACAATCCCCACCGAATGCGCCCAAAATTATGTAAGTGTATTTATTAATTTCCCGTTTTTTCGGAAATTTTTGGGGGGTCTGAAATGGATAATCTCTTCACAATATTCCTTAGGGGAAAAAAATTTCGGTCATACTGGAAACCTGAACATACTTCTGGAGTGAAAAAATTTCGTTAAGGGGGGTCCACGTATTTATAAGTTAAATGATGTAGAACTTACCATCCCAGATTCCCAAAAAGGACTTGGGTTATGGTGAAGAAACCCTTAAAAACCAAAGACAGAAAATCCTAAGCGTAGAAAAAAAAGGAAAATAAAATTACTGGGATTTATATCAAAAAGTGTAAGAAACCCAAATTAAGGGGGTTCATACGAAAGTTTTTATCCCTTCATTAAAAGGCCTCCCCTAAATTTTTGCAGCTCGTTCTGGCTCCATAACAGTTTGGAAAAAAACCGTTAAAAAACATTCAGCGTAGGAGGGAACAAAATTTAATACTTTCTTAGAAATTTTCCCTTTATAAAAGAAAGATTGAAGACATTTAAATTTTAAATTCACTTGTTAGTTTAAAGAATGAGGGGGACCTGATCGAATGTATAAGGGGAAGAAAGGTTTTAAATTTAAAGGGGATATTAATAAGGTCTTGGGGATGTCCCCCCCAAGAGAAAAAACCTGCAGAAAATGGATTTAAATTAGATAATTTTTAGATTTAAAAAGGGGACATAGGAAAGTTTTGGGTTTTGGAAAAGGGTATTGATGAGTGGAATTCACCAAAGTTGGGTTATTGGGCTGGGATTTTTTGGGAAATTTTTAAAATTTTGGTTGGATAAGTCAGAGTGGGGGGGGGTTTGGTTTTGGTGGGACTTTCAAAATCAGGGGTTATTTCGG